GGTAAAGTACACAGTGACACTGGTGGGAAAGGGGCAGTTAATACAAATGTGTGTTTATCAAAACTAAGACTGAGGTCTGCCATCAGGACAAAAGGCCAGGGTGCAAGTTGGGGAAAGGGCTGCTCCACAGTCTTTGGCATCTAAATGTCACAGGCTGGAAGAGGCCTTGATGGGGAGAGGACACAGATCTGAGGAACAGCCCAGAAAGAGCCAGGGTCCCCAATGAAATCATCCACAAATGCATTGTAGGAAGGCCTTGGCGGCTGGGGAGACGTGCAGAAGAACAGTGTGCTTGCTAAACAGCTACAAACGAACAGAATAGCTGGTGTTTAACAATTATTTGAAGTATGTGCACCTCTCACGACACACAAAGCATATAAGCCGGTGTTGGAGAGCAGTACAGAGGCGGCAGTGGAGAGGGACAGCTGAGACGTGGGCAGAGGCGAGGAACTGCCAAAGGTCACAGCAGAAACGGTGTGTGCAGACAGGGCAGTAAAGACAGGAACGAAGTGTGGGCAGTGGCACCGAGAGGCTGGAGAGTGACCAGAACCCAGCCCGACATCGCACTTTCCCCAGCTCCCACTCACCAGGGGCACCTGCACTCTGAGCCTCTCTGGTCAGGGCTGGAGTCGTGTCGGCCCCGTCAGAGACCCAGGGCTCCCTGCCCAGCTCCTGTGGGGAAACCCCATGGGCCACGGAAGATGTGTATCCTAAGGAAAAGACAGGACAGGTAAATGGCCAGCACAGGTGTGGGTGACCCACCCCTCAGAGAAGAAACCTAAATATCATGAAAATAACTCTGAAGTATTGTACTGCAGGAATAACCTAGTGGTCCCAACAAGGAATGATTGTACTGGGTCCTTGGGATTCCTGATACAGGTAGGCTATGAGAAATGTCAGCTAGAGGAAGGGGGCACAACCTGGGGCACAAGAGTGCCGTGGATCTGGACAGAGGCACCCAGTCTGAGAGAGCACAAATCAGACATGATCCACTGGGTAACAAATGGACACATCATGCCTGCACTCCTCCATGCAAGCCTTCAGGGCAGCAGGTAGTGGGACTACTCAGAAACCAGAGGTGCTAGAGCCCACAGTTCACACCTGGCACCCACGGCATCTACTCCAGGGCGGGTGGTGGTACTGCCTATGGTTCTGATCTAGGAAACAGGGAAGAGGGAGAGCCCAGTCCAGGCACTGCAGGGGACAAGAGGGCCTTACCCAGTGAGGCCATCAGTGCAAAGTTCTCCAGCATCACTTCGCGGTACAGGAGCCTCTGAGCCTCATCAAGGAGCCCCCACTCCTCCTGGGAGAAGGACACGAACACATCCTCAAAGGTCACATTTCCCTGCCACAATGGAGAGAGCAGTCTGTGAGCAGTCTCCTTCCCAAGGACCCCATCTGCCCCACAGAACTCCCCTGACCATTCCTACCCACCCAGCTCCTCAACTCAAGGGAAACACCAGCACCAGGTGCCATGTATGTCTGCTCTCTCCTCAGGGTCCCGTTGATCACTGTGTCCACCCACAGCAACAACAGGCAGTTGGGGCAGAAAGGCCTGTCTAAACTCTGGGGCTGGCATGGGGCACAGCACTCCCACCCACCTCCTTCCAGCCAGTTCTTTGAAAGCTGCTAAAATCATGATTACCAGACAAAAAATGGGAAAAAAAAAATGATTAGCAGACAACCAAAGTTAGGCTCATCTTTTTCCCTTAAGTCCCCCAAACCAGGGCCCAAGGGCCATCAATTCACACTCCTTTTCCACATCACATGCTCTTCTGGATCACTCTCTCACAGCTCTGGCCCCTTACCCAGTTGTTGGCCTCCACCATCACCTTCCTAGCTCAGTAACTGCCCCACAGAGAGCAGAGCCTGCTGGGTAATGTAGTTCACATACCACCAAACCTTGAGGAAATCGACGCATAATATAGGTGCGGAGCTGGTGCGCAGCCATTTGCAGGCACCTGTTACTGAGTATCCGTTACCAGGCAACCATTCCCGGGAGACAGCAGGAGGATGTTGCAGCTTGGCGCAGGGATCAGCACCTGCCCCATGACTCCAGGGTGCGGCAAACTGTGCCCTCCTGACTGTCCTAGTAAGTATGCCAAATGGACATTCTTAGGGTGGGAAGTGCTCTCTGCTCTGCTTCACTGCCTGCCCGAGTCCATCCCCATGGAACAAACCAAGATGTTCCTAACCAACAGCAGAGCCATAACTTTACTCCCCGTTTATGGTGCACTGATCAAACTCCCCAGTATAGCTATTCTCTAATGATCTCATGTGACTTCTGCCAATAAAAGTGTGGGTTGAAAGGAGCCATTTTGTCTTCCTGTCATGGAGAGCAGGAGGGTGCCCTGACTCCCCACTTGCCAAATTATATGTGTCTGTTTTTTCCTTACATGCTTGCTGTATCAGGTCTTTCTCACCAGCTGTGCTGGATGTGGCAGGAGGGTACTGTTCTGTTGCTGTAGTTTCTCCCTTGTCAACCTATATACATGCCATCTTCTACTTTTTGGATGTCTTTCTCCTGAACCCCTCCATATAACTTCAGCCCTGTGTCCAGCAGCTCACTGGATACCCCAAGGGTTCTCTGGCACATCTCAGACTCTCCACATGGCCACAAATAAACTACTGATACCCATAGGCAGAGTTACTTCTACCACTAACTTGCCCACCTCAGCTGATGGAGCTTCTACCCTTCTGACTGATATGGCCTAACACCTTGGGGCTGTCTCTTTCCTACACAGAAAATCTGACCCAAATGCTTCCATCTACACAGAGACCCCTCTGCCCCAACCATTATTACAACTTGCCTGGAATACAGAAGCAGCCTTCTCCCCAGTCTTTCTCCTCACCTCTATCCTAATGTCCTCAACCCTCACCACACAGCCTGTTCTCCACTTGAAATTCAGAATTGTCGTTCTTGCTGTACAGTCACTGAGGTGTGCCCGACTCTTTACGACCGCATGGATTGCAGCCCGCCAGGCTCCTCTGTCCATGGGATTTCCCAAGCAAGAACACTGGAGTGGATTGCCATTTCCTTCTCCAAGGGATCTTCCGAACCCAGGGATCAAACCTGGAATCTACAGGGAAGCTGTGAAAACCGAGATCAGATCAGATCACCTCCCTCCTCTGCTCCACATCTGCCACGGCTACAGGACCCTCAGAACAGAGGCCTAGCTGCTCAGTTGGCCACTTCAGGCCTGACTCCTGCTACCAGACTTGTTAAAGATCTGTAGTGTTTTTTGTTTTTTTTTTTAACTCCCAATTCAATCTCACCATCAGGTATGCTGGTTCCTGTGCCTGGAAAAACTGCCACACCTTATTCCAATGGCCACCAGGAGTCAGAGCGCTGCCATATAACCCCTGAACTGGACTGAGAAAACTCTGAGCTTGGTGTTTCTCAGGGGTCTTCAGACTCAAGAGCTGGGAGAGTACAAGGTAAAGCGTTCTATGACATCACAATCCTGGAACCCTGATGGGTGAGGGTGAAGGTGGAATCGATAAGAGACTGGACATCCTGTCTCACCTGTATAAATCCCATAATTAATTCTGAGGTCGGAGAACCTGTAGGTACAGGGAGACTGTGAGAAAGAAGCAACCACGAAAGAGCCCCAAGAGAGCCTCAGGCCTCTCTCCTGCTGCTGCTCGCCACAAGGACCTGGGGCTGACAGTCTGCCCTGTGTGCCGCAGTCCTCAGGGCCATCTAACAACTGCGTGGCCTTGCACTATCCCTCAACATTGCTGGGCTCCACTGTCCGCACTCTCATGTCAAGTCTGTTCACATCTGGACAGTCTACATTTTAAACCATCTTTGGTGGTCTCTTTGTTTAGAACCTTCCGTGCCCCCATCACCTTCAGAATGAACGCACAGCTGCTCAGACCCTCTGATCTTTTCAGACACCAAAGACTCAGACTCCAGGTTTCCCAAATGCTCTACACATTCCGGCCCCACCTTCTGTAAAGTCCTGTCATCCCATCACGCGGGCTGTCAGAAATGTCCGCCCAAGAGCGCCCCCACAGTCGGAACACAGGGCCCAGGGCTGGGGCTCTGAGGCTTCCTTCTTTCGAGGCTTCAGGATTCAGAGACGGAGGAGGAGGGAGGACCCGGGGGCGCAGCACCCACCTGCGCCGGGTCCGTCAGCACGGCGGCGGCCATCGGCACCCGAGGACTGGGGAAGACGAGCAGCTACAGAGCGACAGGTGCTAGGTCGCGGGCTCCGGCGGCCCGGTCACCCGAGCACCGCCACTACCAATCCTCAAGTCCGCCTCTCTCTACAGCAACAACGCCGCTCACGTTTTCCGCGGCGCGTCACCTCGTGTGTGACGTAGCCTTCTGGAGACGGACCTGGCGGACTAATCCGAAAGCAAACAATACGTCCGCCCAAAACGAGAATAGGAAGTCCCGCCCAGGCATCGTCCCTGTGAACGGAAACTCCTCTTTCTTGGGGCTTCATTGGCCCAGAGCTGCCGAGGCTCCTGGGTAATGTAGTTCCCACAGCACCAACGATGAAGTGGGGCATTGGCGCCACCTCCAGGTCACAAGTGGAGCTACCTAGCTAACACCGCGTAGAAAAGGTTTCTTTCAGTTTGAGGATTAGGCAAAGCGTTGCATGCTCTTAAAGGAGGCACTCCTATGTTTCCAGGGAGTGTATTCTATAACGCAACACAGAAACGTTCAGTAGTCATGTATGGATGTGAGAATTGAACTATAAAGAAAGCTGAGCGCCGAAGAATTGATGCTTTTGAACTGTGGTGTTGGAGAAGACGCTTGAGAGACCCTTGGACTGCAAGGAGATCCGACTAGTTCAGTTCAGTCGCTCAGTGCCCAACTCTTCACAACCCCATGGACTGCAGCATGCCACGCCTCCCTGTCCATCACCAACTCCCGGAGTTTACCCAAACTTATGTCCATTGAGTCGGTGATGCCATCCAACCATCTCATCCTCTGTCATCCCCTTCTCCTTGGGAGAAGAATGGGACGACAGAGGATGAGATGGTTGGATGGCACCACCGACTCAATGGACATGGGTTTGAGCAAGCTCTGGGAATTGGGGATGGACAGGAAAGCCTGGCATGGTGCAGTCCATGGGGTTGCAAAAAAGTCAGACACAACTGAGCAACATGGAGAATGCTCATCAGAAAAATCAAATGAACACACCAGATGCTAACACAAATCAGACCTCTACAGTGGGAAGCTAATATATGAAATGTTGTTATCAAATGTATACCCAGATTGTGAAGCGCTAGGATTGCTTCTGTGGGCCTCAGGATTTAGTCAGAAACAAGAGCAACAGAGACTCCAGACATGACCACCATGACATGAAAGTGCAGTAGGGATTTGGGGTGCTATCAAACAGGTGGACAATTCTGGTGTCTCTGGTTACTTTGGAAAATATTTGTCCTGCCATTACAATTAGTTTTTGTGTCTAACCCAGTGAGTAACACTTTTTTATAAGACATGTTATGGGGCCCAAGCTTGCTCTGCTCACTGTATTACAGGCCAATAAACTGGAAGACAACGAAGACATTGTTGGAACAAGGAATGACGACTTTATTCGGAAAGCTAGCAGACCCAGAAGATGGCAGGCTGGCATCTCAAAAAAACCATCTTCCCTCAGTCTGGACTCAGGTCACTTTTATGCAGAAGAGGTGGAGGGGTTCACTGCACCCCTGAAACCAATGGCTTAGTGGGGCTGCTTTAGCTAGGGCCTGCCCTACCCCATTACAGAAATATTTCTCACTCTGTATACACAGATGTATTCAATTCATTTTAGGTATCATAAAAATATCTGAAGAGAAAAGTGACCAGAGAAATTTCCATTTACTAAGGTATGAGATGGACAGGGAAGCATGGAGTGCTGCACTCCAAGGAGTCACAAAGGGACACAGCTGAGCAACTGAACTGAACTGACTGAAGTTACGGGAAGGGCATTCTGGCTTATACAAAAATTTAACTTGGACTTTAGGCTAATCAAAACAGCCTGTTTGTGGCTTATCAAATATGCACTGCATATCTGCATTAGTTATTAAAGAAAAGAACACACTGACCAGAAGTAAAGACTGTCCATTTTTGAGATAAAGATAAAAACATCTCCCCTTCGTGGGATGCCAAAGCTGGTACTCCTTTGATGATAAAACTCCTTTGCCAGGTGCCAAGGCCATATTGAGTTGGGTATATGCTGCTGTGTTTTTTGATTTTTGGGATCCTTGACCACGTCATCACCTACATTCAGAACTCAGTCTTTGCTTCATCACCAGGTTTTTTATATTGGGCATAGCACTGGCAAAGGAAACTTGGTAACGTATAATTGGTTCACTCTAAGGAAACCACTTTCTTATGGTCCTCAAGATCCTCTTTATGTCCTTCAAGAGAATGAAATACTGGAGCACCAGCTGCGCAGGGACATTGAAATACAAGCCCATCTACAATAAGGATGGTCTTTAGAGAGTCTGGCAGAGTTTCTCACTATGATTTCTCCTCCACCACAATATCTGCAGCTCTGTTACTCAATGCAAGTCCATGTGGCCCACCAACAGTGAGGCCAAATTATACCAAAATGTGGGATTTTGGAGCAGTGAAAGGTTCACTGCAGAGACAGGTAAGGAAATGGATGTCTCATGCCCAAAACCCCGAACTCCCTAAAAGTTTTAAGAAAAACTGAAAAGTCAGGGAGGGGTGTGGTTAGTTGTATTGGGTAGAAAGTTAGACATGAGCGTTGAGGGGAGGCCTGCCTGAAAGGGATGCAAGCTGATCTCTAAACTCCATCCCAGACATACCCAGGAGAACTCACATATATGCTACAAAATAACTGCAGAGACTTTTCAACTGCTACACATGTGCCCTAGGCACACAGTGGATACAAAATGACCACAGGAGCTTCTCCAAGTAACCTTGGGCAGTTGGGCAGTTAGGCAGTTAGGAGCTGATAAGGGATTTATGACTAGTCTACACCTAATTATCATAGGTGAAATTATGGGGAGATATAAACAACATAGCCTGCTGTTATGTAAATTATAATTGTTAATCAGCCTTGAGCGTATGCCCATTTGTATTCCCTTTCATAGATTCGCGGTGGGTACAAGCCCTACTTTGTACAGGACATAACCAAAAGGAGTTGTTGTTGCTCAACCTTTGCTCCAAGGAGCAAGTGTCATTTAATTTCATGGCTGCAGTCACCAACTGCAGTGATTTTGGAGCCTCCCAAAAATAAAGTCTGTCACTGTTTCCATTATTAAGTTCAGTTCAGTTGTTCAGTCGTGTCTGACTCTGCGAACCGAGGCGCAGCACGCCAGGCCTCCCTGTCCATCTACAACTCCCGGAGTTTACCCAAACTCATGTTCATTGAGTCAGTGATGCCATCCAACCATCTCATCCTCTGTCGTCCCCTTCTCCTGACTTCAATCTTTCCCAGCATCAGGGTCTTTTCAAATGAGTCAGCTCTTTGCATCAGGTGGCCAAAGTATTGGAGTTTCAGCTTCAACATCAGTCCTTCCATTGTTACCTCATCTATTTGCCATGAATTGATGGGACCAGAGGCCATGATCTTAGTTTTTTGAATGTTGAGTTTCAAGCCAGCTTTTTCACTCTCTTCTTTCACTTTCATCAAGAGGCTCTTCAGTTCCCCCTTTGCTTTCTGCCATAGAGTGGTGTCACTTACATACCTGAGGTTATTGACATTTCTCCTGTCAATCTTGATTCCAGCTTGTGCTTCATCCAGCTTGGCATTTCACATCATGTACTCTGTATATAAATTAAATAATGGGGGGGGGGCTATATACAGCCTTGATGTACTCCTTTCCCAATTTGGAACCAGTCTGATGTTCCATGTCTGGTTCTAACTGTTGCTTCTTCACCTTCATACAGGTTTCTGAGGAGGCAGGTAAGATGGTCTGGTATTCCCATCTTTTAAGAATTTTCCACAGTCTATTGTGATCCACACGGTCAAAGGCTTTAGCATAGTGAAGCAGAAGTACATGTTTTTTTCTGGAATACTCTTGCTTTTTCTATGATCGAACAGATGTTGGCAATTTGATCTCTGGTTCCTCTGCCTTTACTAAATCCAGTTTGAACATCTGGGAGTTCTCACTTCACATAGTGTTGAAATCTAGCTTGGAGAATTTCGAGCATTACTTTGCTAGCATGTGAAATAAGTGCAATTGTGTGGTAGTTTGAACATTCTTTGGCATTGCCCTTCTTTGGGATTGGAATGAAAACTGACCTCTTCCAGTCCTGTGGCCACTGCAGAGTTTTCCAAATTTGCTGGCATATTGAGTGCAGCACTTTCACAGCACCGTCTTTTAGAATTTGAAATAGTTCAACTTTGAAAAGACCTTGATGCTGGGAAAGATTGAAGGTGGGAGGAGAAGGGAATGACAGAGGATGAGATGGCTGGATGGCATCACTGACTCAAAGGATGTGAATTTAAGTAAACTCCGGGAGTTGGTGATGGACAGGAAAGCCTGGAGTGCTGTGGTCCTTGGGGTTGCAAAGAGTTGGACATGACTGAGTGACTGAACTGAACTGAACTGGAATTCCTTCACCTCCACCAGTTTTGTTCGTAGTGATGCTTCCTAAGGCCCACTTGACATCGCACTCCAGGATGTCTGGCTCTAGGTGAGTGATCACACCATCGTGGTTATCTGGGTCATTAAGACCTTTTTGTTTGGTATAGTTCTGTGTATTCTTGCCACCTCTCCTTAATATCTTCTGCTTCTGTTAGGTTCCTACTGTTTATGTTCTTCGTTGTGCCCTTCTTTGCATGAAATGTTCCCTTGGTATCTCTAATTTTCTTGAAGAGATCTCTAGTCTTCCCATTCTATTGTTGGCCTGTATTTCTTTGCATTATTCACTTAGAAAGTCTTTCTTATCTCTCCTTGCTATTCGTTAGAATTCTGCATTCAAATGGGTATATCTTTCCTTTTCTCCTTTGCCTTCAGCTTACCTTCTTTTCTCAGCTATTTGTATATTCGCCTCAGGCAATCATTTTGCCTTTTTGCATTTCTTTTTCTTGGGGATGGTTTTGATCACTACGTCCTGTACAGTGTTTGCAAACCTCCCTCCCTAGTTCTTCAGGCACTCTATCAGATCTAATTCCTTGAATCTATTTGTCACTCCTACTGTATAATGGTAAGGGATTTGACTTAGGTCATACGTGAATGGCCTAGTGGTTTTCCCTACTTTCTTCAATTTAACTCTGAATTTGGCAACAAAGGGTTCTTGATCTGAGCCACAGTCAGCTTCCAGTCTTGTCTTTGCTGACTGTATAGAGCCTCTCCATCTATGGCTGCAAAGAATATAATCAATCTGATTTTAGTATTAACCATCTGGTGATGTCCATGTGTAGAGTCTTCTCTTGTGTTGTTGGAAGAGGGTGTTTGCTATGACTGGTGTGTTCTTTGGGAAAACTGTTAGCCTTTGCCCTGCTTCATTTTGTACTCCAAGGCAAAACTTGCCTGTTACTCCAAGTATCTCTTGACTTCCTACTTTTGCATTCCAGTCCCCTATGATGAAAAGGACATTTGTGTGTGTGTGTGTGTGTGTGTGTGTGTGTGTGTGTTAGTTCTAGGTGTTGTCGGTAGGCCTTCATAGAACCATTCAACTTCAGCTTCTTTGACATTAGTGGTTGAGGCATAGACTTGGATTCTGTGATATTGGTTTGCCTTGAAAACTAACCAAGATCATTCTTTCATTTTTGAGATTTCACCCAAGTATTGCATTTCAGACTCTTTTGTTGACTATAAGAGATACTCCATTTCTTCTAAGGGCTTCTTGCCCACAGTAGTAGATATAACAGTCATCTGAATTAAATTTGTCCATTCCAGTCCATTTTAGTTCACTGATGCCTAAAAAGGAGAAGACTAGAAGTATAAAAGGGGAAAGCCAAGACGGCTTGACTGGAGGATGAGGAGGACTGCTTTGGGACTGTGAAACTAATAAACCAACCTGATGGTTGTTGCAAATTTTGGCTTCAGATCACTTGTTCTTGAGATCAAGTCATGGTCAAATGATTTTTCTATAAGCCTAGAGCAAATGAATGTTATTCTCTGTTATAAGGAGAAAGGGCAAGAGCCCAGGGCACAACTTTCACCCTCCAAGGTCTAGGTCCTGGCTGATGAGGGGAGAGTTCCTGCTTGGGCTCATAATCCTGTCAGGGAACATTCACCCAGTGCTCAATCTGGGTCCTCCTGCCAGTGTCCAGGCTTGGCAAAGAGAGGCAGGTTTTAGCCGGCAGTGCCCTCAAGGTCAGGCCCCCAGACCCTGCACAGCTGTCATCATTGAGGGAACCAGGTGCCCAGGACCCAACTAGCCCTCAGGCTCCTCTGATGCCCCAACGGGAGTGGCGTGCACGTGCGTCCCAGGTCCTGTGGACTGCGACCCGTGCACACTGCTGCTGCCACCAGGTCATGGAGGCAGGGATGGCAGAGAGGTTCCCCGTTGCCTCAAGACCCAGGTCCCACCAGCGGGCCAGGGTGGCAAGGGCTCTGGAGCTCAGTAGGACACGGCCCCAGCCTCCCCCCAGCAGTGCCCCTCAGCTCACCTGCAGCCGTGAGGCCTGGAAGGTCCCCGGGAGAAAGCCACCCTCTGCCACACTCTCCACCAGAGGACCAACACCTGGCCGGTTGGCCCAGCGGGACCTCTAACTGCCCTACCTAGGTCTGGAGCTAGCAGTCCCCACAGCTGTCTCGCGGTAACGGTTACCAGGTAAGGACTATGCGGTAACTGGCGCGAGCAAACGACTGCGCCCAGCCCCGCCCTATTACCTGTCCACTTCCTGAGGTTTGGCGGCGCGTGAACTACATTACCCAGCAGGCGCTGCTTCCTGCGGGGCCGGTGCTCAGCCGACAGCGCAGATATGTCCCCATTGGAACCCGCGGGGCGGGACTTCCGCCTTCGGTGGTGGGAAGGGGCGGTCGTTTTGGGGGTCTTTTGGGTCTCTGTGTTTGATGAGAGGTTCCGGGAAGCTGGTGTTGAACTGGGGTGACGGGAGAGGGAAGGCGCGAGAGGAGGCCGGCGTTCTCTTCTTGGCACTAATGCGGGTCTGACGTTCAGCAGCGGCGCCCGGGAGTCACCTGATTCCTACTCCGGGGCAGGGATGCCTGGGGCCCGACCTGGTCCACAGCTCCTGGCCCCGCTCCGCCCACAGAGTCCAATGGCACCGGCCGCTCTGACAGTCCCGCCTGAGGTAAATGTTCGTCCTCCGGTCTCACCGCCGTCGCCCCACTAGACGCTAAAGGCCACCTTGATCGTCCCCTGCTCAAGACCCTGGGTCCAGGTCTGTAAGGAGATAGTGGGTGAGAGGCCGTATTTCTGTCAGCCAGTATGATGGGGCGTGGGAGAGGGTTACAGGCCGCGGGACCGGCACGATCAAAGCCTTGAAACAGTAACAGAACTGAGAGTCTTAAACTTGAGATTTGTCTGGAGTCTGCACGCAACCGCATGAGAGGATGAGTCACACGGGACAAGGCAGCCGCAGCAGCTGGACCTTCATTGTGCGGCCGCCAATAGCCAGGGAGGGTTGTGAAGAGGAGAGGCTCAATCTGTGTGTCAAAATTGTCCAAAGTCTTCGCAAGGAAAAAGAGACAGGGGTAGTGGTGATGAGAGTGTGAGTGGAGACTATCCCTAACCCTAACCTGTGAGGAAGTAAATACCATGGAGTGCTGGTGGCCAGAGAGAGGAGAAATGATCAGGTCTCTCACAGGCTTTAAAAGTGGGACAGGAAAAAAAAAAAGTGGGACAGACAGGATTTCCTGCTGCACCAGCTGTGGCTGTGAAGGACGAACCTGTTTTTTTGGTTTGCAAGGAGCAGGTGTGAGGGAAAAGATGGGAGTTGGATTTGGACATGGCAACCCTGGGGTTTCCCAGAGTGGACGTGTTGCATGGGCAACTGGCTTACTCACCCGAGGGGTTCCGGGGTTCCAAGGAGGGATCTGGGCTGGAGATATCCAAGGGATGGTGGGGAGTGGTCTGGTCCGCAGCACGGACTGGGGCTTATATTTAGAAGGAAGAATGTTAAGGTTTTTATTTCAGATGAGCCTGCAGGGTGGGCCACCTCCAGAGGGGTGGATTCCTGTGCTCCAAAGTGTTTCTGGCTGGTTTGGAGGAATGGTTAGCGGACCCAGGTCTGGGCTGGAGACTGAGATGGTCAGTGGTGTAGATTTGCCATGCCAGGCTCAGCAGGCCCTCTTTTCCCCTCGTGGAGAAAAAGAACACTCAGGCTAGTAGGGCATCTCCTTTGATGCCTAAGTTCCCCCAGCTTTTAGGACAGGGGGGATGAGTAGCTGCTCCAGTGGAAAGGCCTCTAGCAGGCTTCCCTCCAGGAGGGTGTATATACCAGGCAGCCAGTTGCCAACTGGACTAGTAGCTACTCAGTTTTCTCAGGCCCAATCCCCCAGTTCCTTATCTTGTGAGTTTATGAAATAAATACTCATTTAACACTAACTGGTGAAAATACATATATACATATGTACATAAATATGTATGTAATATACATACACACATAGGCAGTTAAGACAACACAGCTCTAACAAGCTAACATATAATAATTAGTTGAAATATCAATATCCTGCTAAGCATTTGATTAAATCAAACATCTTCAATGTTGTATTTTCTTAGTTAAAAGGCATGTTGAAAAAGTACATTTTTAATACCAATCAGGAAATACTGACAGAAGCATCACTTATGAGGACCGTGAGAGTCAATAGTTAGAACTTGATGCATAGAAATGAGCAAACAATAGCCCTCTTGGGTGGACACCATTATTATCCACATTTGACAGATCACAACACTGCACAGGGAGGTCGAGGATTTGTCCAAGATTACACCGCTGTTGAGAGGCATGTATCACTGAGGACTGCGGTACCTTGGTTGAGCCATTGGGGCCCAGTATTACTGCCTGCTTCTCATGGCCTGGCTTTTCCATAGGTTGCTGTGGCTGCAGAGTGGCTTCCAGACCATGAAGAGGTAAGTGATACAGTGTCCTAGATCCGTACCCTTTTCACCTCCCACTTGCCTGGGCTCCAGGATTATAGCATCCTGGGACTTGTTTTACCTGCTATGCTCCTCACCCTGCCATCTAAGATCCCTGGAAGGTGGTCATCCAAGATCAGGTTCCTGAGTGCAGACCAGGAATCATATGGTTTGGTTCCCATTTCTGGCAGCCAGTGGCATGAGGCCTAGAAGAGAGTCCATTCACAGTGATCATGAGAAAATATTAGAAGAGGTGAGGTTGAGTTAGGAATGCCCAGCAAACTTAGGTCCCCTTATGTGTGGTGAAAACAGCAAGAAGCAGAGAAGTTAGACCTGGAATGGTGGTCTGCAGAGGTGTGCCTCAATTCAGAGGGTGGTGGGAGCCACAGGGGGTTTAGAGCCAAAGAAGGAACTGATCTGAGCCAGGCTTAATAAGCAGACTGTTGGGTGGTAGGGAGACCAGGGAGGAAGCTACTACAGTAGCCCAAGTGAGTGTGGTGGTAGATGGGCCAGAGTAGTGGCAGTGGAGGTGCGCAACGTGTTGGGAGTGTTTGTTCTTTCAAGTAGGTCTGAGCAGACTATCTGATGTGAAAGGTTAGGAGAGAAAAGAGGAAGAGTCAGGTGATTCTGAGATGTTTGGCCTCAGTAGCTAGAAGGAGGGAAGTGCCACCACATCCAAGTCAGTGGCAAGAGGAATTCTCACTGGGAATAAGGAGTTAGGTTCTGGCTGTTGAACCCAGAAACCCTCGATTGAATTCCTCCCCTGGGCACCTGGACCCACAGGCTAGAGTTCAGGTGAAGGGTTCAGATTGGATTCACCCACAGTGTGGGTGGTGCATGGGCCAGGATGGAGCTGTGATCAGATTTGGCAGGGAGTACCTTCAGTTCCCGTGGCAGTGCATTAGGTAACAAGGGAGGGGAGTGTGGGGCTGAAGACTGGGTCTCTTGCTGGATGGGGTGCTGGGTTTCATAGAAACACATGAGGGGAGTGTAGTGGTCATGGTGGGGAGGCATTGTAGCAGGGAGGAGGATCTGGCTGGAGGCCAGGTTTCCATGGGGAGTGGACATGAGATGTAGGTGGAGACCAGGCAGGGAGATGAGAGCAAAGCTGGTGCTACTGCTGATTCATCCAGCTGTGGACTCCCCAGGCTCTTGTTCTTATCACTATAGGAACCTGGAGGTCAGCACAAAGTCACATGGGGTCCCCTGGGACTGTTGGTGGGCATGATGTGAGACAAGTGGACCTGGGCTTTGAACAAGTGTCAGAGGACGCTAAGACTGGTCAGGGGACTGCTTTGTAACACAGAATGGAAGAGGGCTGAGTGTACCTGAGATCGACTCCAGGTTTCAAGATGCTGAGGTGAAGCCAGGGTAAGGGCTGAGTAGGGCCAGGGCCATGAGGGAGGTGTGGTGTGAAGAACAGTATGCATGTTGGGAGAGAGTGCCAGCTGATGGCCCCAGGCCCTTGTGCTTGGGTGAAAGGAGAAGGGGACTCAATTTTGGTTGTTCGTGGGAACCACAGTCTGAAGGATCCTGGGTGAATTGTCTTTCAGAAGGGTGAGGCTTTGTAGGTCAGCACCAGAGCTCAGATGACACCTGTCCCCCACCTGTTGTTGCTGAGGGCAGAACATGGTGATCGCTGGGGTGGCCAGGAGGGTGGGCATCAGCAACACCAGGGCCTGGTATCTCCACTGAGGCGGGGAGCTCGGGAGGAGGGTTAGAGTCCCAGGAAAGAAGGCTGCATGTAAACTGAACCATCCCCATCGTGGCAGGGCCGAGTGACCTTTGAGGATGTGGCTGTCTACTTCTCCTGGGAGGAGTGGGGGCTCCTTGATGAGGCCCAGAGGCTCCTGTACCACGGGGTAATGCTGGAGACCTTCTCACTGATGGCCTCTCTCGGTAAGGTCCTTGCATCCTATAGCTCCCCCCCTCTCCAAGGGCAGGTCCGTCCCTCCCAAAGCTGGTCTGGTACTCCCTCCTTTCTTGTGTCCTAGAGTAGGTATAACAGCCAAGCCTGGGTGCACCACCCCCTTCTGTCCCCAAGCTGCTCCACGGTTGTACAGGAATGGGTTTAGGGATCCCAAGTGTTGCGGTCAGATGGATCCTACACTGCTGGCCTCTCCCTGGCCTGGTGATGCCAAAGAGATCCACAGCAGTCCAACACCCCACTTTGGCCCTCTTCTTTTGGCTGATGTGGGATCTGCCTGTGTCAGGAACTGAGGTGCTGACCTGGCCATTGCTTGATCAGGATGTTCCTGCAGCATCTTTTTCCCACCTTCTTGTTGGTTACACTCAGCCTTAGTTCCTGTGGGCTGCTGAGGAGTGGGTCACTTTGACCCTCCTGCCTTGTTCCTTCCGTAGGACTCACATCGTTCAGGACCCATGACATGACTCAGCTGGAGCAGTGTGGGGAGCCCTGTGTGCCTTCCGAGGGAGTCTCAACCACAGCCACACCAGCAGGTACTTGGAGGGAGGTGGCAGAGGGTTGGGGTGAACCCAGGGATGAGTTTGCACCAGGAGTCTCCCCAGGGGGCCCTGATGTTTTGGTGTCAGAGAAGGGGCCAAGGCTGATTTCCATCTTTTTTCCCTCAGCTGCCCACTTCTCAGCTGCCAGAGCTGCCCCCTACCCTCTGTTCCACTCTGCAGTGCTTGCCAACAGTGGCTTCAGTTTCTAGTGTTTTATGACATGGCTAGTCAGCTGTGGCCATGAGAGGAAACACA